AGGAGTAGAAGTAGATCCGCGCACGAGTGGAGCCCTGATTTGTTTAAAATGTGATAGATGAAGGAAATGGTTGCTTTTCGCCTATCTGACTCGTTTTGTTCATTAATCCCGATCTAAAATCTACCGCTCTTTCAAAAAAACTTTGTTGACTGTCTGATTTGTCGTCTTTGTTGTTTGCGGATGGTAATCCTATCGCCCTTAATTGCACTATCGTTGCCAGTTTGATCACCAATGCATCACAAATCACTCATGCGGCTCAGAAGAGACACCGTACACCTGCTTACCCTCTCCGCCATTCTTATCAACTGCTCCGCTCGACCACGTCCAAATACAGGTATTCGCTACTGATTGATATTTTTAAAAATACTACTCTGAGTAAATTTCACTAAAATTAGGTCGCGATAGATAGTTACGCAGTTGAGTAGTTGTTGCCAGTAGTGCTGCTACTTCAGGAATGACCAGTGAATCGAATTCTGGAGCGTCGACCATGACAAACAGGTTACCCTTCTCTTCATGTTCCGGGTTCGTGAAACCTGTACATTTATCGGCCAGCGCAGCAAATTCTTGTGGATAACAAATGCCTTTTCAAAAGCTACTGTGATCACGAGTGAAAATTTTGTACATGGCGCATTTCAGGAAGGTCGTTCAGTGATCCTTCAAAAAATGCGATTACAAAAAGCGGTAGAGAACTCTAATATCGGCCAATTTTCCTCGGTTTTGTAAGCCGTGCACTCTGTTCCCCACAGAAGTTGTAGTCTTTTTAATTTTCCAGAATTGACTTGATGGTGTGTGAGGGAAGAATGAATTCGTTGTCGGCTGTTTTACTCTTCGTGAAACGTGATCAATTTTGGCAGTTCTAGAGAATCGAGGTCATTACTGGATCGGGTAAAGCAGTAACACAAAAATTGTAAGAACTTCCATAGAACTCAAAGCGACCAGGTGGTAATGTGTTCAGAAGATAGCAATATGGACTTTTTTGATGTTCTTACAGGGTAGACGTTGCGGGCGCGAAAATTTTGCCATGCCACAGGGTGAGCTACTCATCAAGGAAATTCGGCAGCCACTGCCATTCTTCCTCCCCCTCCCTCAGTTACTGTCTTCTTCACAGCAGTAGCATTTTGTCTGCGCTAACTTTTGCAGCCAGCCGAACTCAAATTAAAGGCAGAATTTACGATCAAAAGTTAGCTCATTGGAAATAAGGGTAGAGGTGGTCAGTGGAGCAGGGATGAAGAAGAAACCATTTGAAACGGCCCGAAACCCGAGAAATGGGACCCCTTCCTTGCCCGTTGATTTGCGCATTGATGCGACTCTCATCGCTGTGCCCTCTTCAACACTACGCGCTCTCTGCTATCTAATCACTCGCCACGTATAGACCTGCGGCGAGTGATTAGATAGTCGGTGGGCGTACCCCGCCAACCGCGCCAAGAGTGAGCCATGCTAGATCGCCGAGGTCAAATCTTTCGCTGCCAATTGCGCGTCGGTCAGCACCCTCAGGAGGTCCGCCTGTCTCCCAACTATGCAATTTTCCCCTTCTTTGACCTTCGTTCTTATCGTGAATTCCTTCCTTAAAGTCTTCCACCAAAAAAGAGAGCGCCATAAAAAACACTACAATTATTCTTGTGAAGTCGACAGTAT